AAACTGCACTTAAAAATATGAATAATATTAATAATCTGTTTAAAAGAGCTTGTTAAAATTATTTGCAATAGAAAACGTTTGTAATATTATACATGTTTTTGCTGTCACTTTTAATTAATAAAATGCATCCTTGCTGAATAGAAGTATTAATTTCCCTCAAAAAATAAAAATCTTACTGAACCCAATCATTTGAACTGTAGTGTATGTAGAAAGTAGACAGCAAGGCAGCTCAGTAAGGTTTTTAACTGGGCCTGTCCCCCATAAATGTTTTCTCTGTCGTCTTTTTGGCAGACACCTTCACAATCCTTCTGTATTACTACTTTCATTCCAGGTTATATCCCCAGCGCTGGGATTCCCCTGCAGAAACAGTTGGAACATGCTAACCAGCAGTCCGGCTTCACAGACTCTGTAAGTAGGGCTGGTCAGGATGTAAACTTTGATAAACTGGGACCAAAGGAAGGACAGCTGAGTGCAGAGTGTCACTGGATCCCTATGTCTGTGTAAACATTACTCATATTTGTGATTTCAGAGTTCATTGAGGCCCATGCATCCACAGGCTCTGCATGTCAGCGCTGCAGGTTTGCTGCCTACTGCTTCTATTGCGGTCCAGATCCCTCCTGGCAAGGTCAGAGCCAAGCCAATTAATGAAATCTATATTAACTTAGTCTTCCTGCTGCATTATTTGCAATTAATTGATTTTTAGCCTTAAATAGTAGGATTACTTGTTATGTTTTGGGCATAGATGTCTTGCTTTTTTTCTTTGGACAGTCTGGCTTACCATATGCACATCCACCAAGGCCAGCTTCCCCAGGCGCATTCACGCATGGAACGCCCTCACAACAAGCACATGCGGTGAGTTCTGTCCAAACCAAGAATACCGTTTTATTTATAGCATGTATGTACATTTCCTTATTAAATAAATGCAGTATCTGATTAAGATCTGTATAAGGAAAGTGACATTCAGTTTTTTTCTCCTTTTGTTTTACAGGCTACATTTCAAAGCTCTTCTCAACCAACCCCTCGCCACACCTACCTTTCTCACAGCCAGTCAGGGCAGAGGTTTTACCACCATGGCAAATAGCTATTCATTTCAGTCTCATGCAGAATGTTAGGGTGTGAAGATAAGATTCACCACTAACACTTTGGAGCCTTTTGGATTAAAGCTACATAGCACACAACGCTTGGCATCATAGTGTTACGACGTGACTGTATTACTGTCACACGCAAGTCATTTTCTGTGCCATTCTTCAGCTGTTAGACCACCCTTTGCAACAGGGTATGCCATTTATTGCCATTTTTTTTATGCATTTGAAGACATCGACAACAGCTGTGCCAACATTATAATAATACCACTATATGTCACAACTAAAATTAAATCTTTTAATTATTTTAAAATTAAAACTAACTAAACAATATAGGAAAAGACTAGAAGATTGTATTTCCAGGTTCTGTAACAGACCTCACACTCAGTGCTGTCTATAACTTGCATTAACATTGATGAATGCACCTTTTCTCAGAATCAGAATTAGTTTTTTTTCTAATTCAAAGAACAGGAAAATAATATTTTCATAAGATTTTAAATTGCAAATGTGATGTTTTTAGCCAACCAACTGAATTTCACAAAACTGCACTTAAAAATATGAATAATATTAATAATTCGCCTAACACTACTAGAAACGTGCTAGTAACTGGCTAATCATGCCAAAAAAAGGCTAACACCATGCTAGTAACGTGCTAATCATGTTAGAAACATGTTAGCAACTTGCTAAAAATGCTAGAAACATGCTAGCATCAGGCTAGTAACATGCTAATCATGCTAGAATCAGGCTAGTGACATGCTAATCATGTTAGATTAATGCTAGTAACTTGCTAACCATGTTAACATGTTAGTACTTGTTAATCATGCTAGAAACATGCTAACAAAATGTTAGCAATGAGCTAATAATGCTAACAACTTGTTAAACATGTTAGAAACATGATAGTAACGTGCTAATCATGTTAGAATCATACTAGTAACATGTTAATCATGCTAGAATCATGTTAACAACATGCTAGTAACTTGCTAACAAAATGCTAGTAACTTGGTAATCATGGTAACAACATGCTAGTAACGTGCTAATCATGCTAGAAACTTGTTAACAAAATGCTAGTAACATGTTAATCATGTTAGAATAATGCTAGCAGCATGCTAGTAAATGGGTTAAAAATGTTAACACCATGCTAGTAACATGCTAATCATGCTAGAAACATGCTAGCAGCTTGTTAAACATGTTAGAAACATGTTAGCATCATGCTAGTAACATGTGAATCATGCTAGAATAATGTTAGCAACATGCAATTAACTTGCTAATCATGTTAACAAAATGCTAGTAACTTGTTAGAAACATGCTAACATGCTAGTAACTTGTTAATCATGCTAGAATAATGCTAACCACATGCTAGTAATTTGCTAATCATGTTAGAAACATACTAGCATCATGGTAGTAACATGGTAATCATGCTAGAATCATGCTAGTAATTTAAAAAAAAAATTCAATTCAAGTTTATTTGTACAGCGCTTTTCACAATACAAATCGTTGCAAAGCAACTTTACAGCAAATTAAGTTTCTACTATATTTAGTGGTAGCTTATCAGTGGTGACTGTCAGTTAATGTACATATGGCAGAAATGGAAACGGAAAAATCAATTTAAGACGTAATAAAACAGACGATGAACACTATTAACAGCAATTATTATATGATGCAATCAAACTTATAGCAAAATGTGGTAGTTCTGTATGTTGTTTGGTCCTCTGAGGGGTTGGCATCATCTCTTCTCAGGTGTTCTGGATCCAGACTGAAGCTTGTGTAAATCCTAGTTACCACGGGATGTCAATCCCAGCAGAAACAGAGAAACAAATAGAGACATACCAACCAAGCTAATTTGATTTGTTTAACCCAAACTAAAGAATAATAATGTGCATTTGATCAGATATAACTGCAGTACAAGATTATGAGATGCATTATTTGAATGCTTGGCCAAAGAGATGAGTCTTTAATCTAGATTTAAACATAGAGAGTGTGTCTGAACCCCGAATGTTATCAGGAAGGCTATTCCAGTGTTTGGGAGCCAAATGTGAAAAAGCTCTACCTCCTTTTGTGGACTTTGCTATCCTAGGTACTACCAAAAGTCCAGAATTTTGCGACCTTAGGGAGCGTGATGGATTGTAGCGTGGTAGAAGATTAGTTAGGTACGCAGGAGCTAACCCATTAAGGGCCTTATAGGCAAGTAATAATATTTTGTAACTGATGCTAATCATGCTAGAATAATGCTAGTAACTTGCCAGTCATGTTAACAACATGCTAATAATGCTAACTTCATGCTAGTAACATGCTAATCATGCTAGAAACATGCCACTAACTGGCTAATCATGTTGACAAAATGTTAACACCAACATGCTAGCAAAATGCTAATCATGTTAGAAACATGCTAGTAACTTGCTAATCATGTTAACACAATGCTAATACCATGTTAGTAACATGATAATCATGCTGGCAACATGTTAGTAACTTTGCTAATTATGTTAACAACATGCTAATCATGCTAGTAAACATGTTAGTATGCAAACAAAATGCTAACACCATGCTAGAATAATGCTAGCAACATGTTAGTACTTGCTAATTATGGTAACAACATGCTAGTAACTTGCTAATCATGCTAGCAACATGCTAGTAACATGCTAATCATGATAAAAACATGTTAGCAACATGCTAGAAACAGCCTAGCAACCACCTCAGGTAACCTACCAATAAGTTTTATACCTGTTCTGTTTACATCTGTTTTTCTGATAGACTGTATTGCCTTGAAAACATTCAAACTTTAATCTTTCAAACTATTTTAACTTTCAAACTACTTCAAACTGAAAACTTTCTAGCTAGGCTTTTTCAAGCCAACTTAAAGTTTGTCTACAAACTTTTCAATCTAGTTCTTTTTAGTGTCACTGAATTATGTGGTTGGGTGGAAGTGTGTTTCAATATTGGCTTATGTAAATACCTTGATGATTATGAAATTCATTCAGCACTGTCTCAAAAATGTAGTTAATCTAAGTTCAGTTTCGATCTGTTGTTTTCTTGTAGGCCGTTTCTCTTAAATACTGTGGAAATCCCCAGTACTATTGACCACATAGCACTTCACCTCATCTTGAAAACAGTCCGTCCTACCCTACATTTCCTTTGAGTTTAAGACATCAGGAATAGACTATTGTAAGCTGAAGGACTACTTATTTTCTTTTAGATAAATCTTTATCATAAAGCACACAACTTTATGGCTTTCCCACTAACTCATAAACATCTCATATTCTGAAGCCATTATAAGTAAAACACTTGTATTGTTAAAGGAATAAATGAAAAATCATTTATCATTCACTTGCCCTCGTGTTCTCAAAAACCTTTATGACTTTCTTTTGTGGAACACAAATCTTTTGTGTTTCATAGAAGAAGAAAAATGTTTGGAATGAAATGAGGGTAAGAAAATAATGACAATGTTTATTTCTGGGTAAACTGTAGTGACAAGAGTACTGTGAATAAAGTGCCATGGAAGTGTGTGGTTAGCCATCAGAGTCTTCCAAATGGCTCTCTCAAAAACTGCTAAAATCTTGGCAGGAAGTTATGGAGGAAGTCGTGTAGGTTGGAACTGGTCTGCCTCCCTTTCCGTACCACTGCTTTTACAGTAATTGCATTTACTGAAGGGTCTGAGAGACACCGTTTTGTGGTTGCATCTCAAAGATTAGACTGAGTGAAAGAAGAAAAAAACGTTTATTTTATGTCAAATAATTTGCAAACAATACACATTTTAAATGTTAAATGCAGGTCCAGTCTTGAATGATTGTGATTATGTGTAAGTGGGAATTAATTAAGTGATTATCTGCTATAATAATGTATCAGTAAATGCATGCAGAAAAAGACTGGGAATTAGAGGGGGTGTGTGTGTGTGTGTGTGTGTGTGTGTGTGTGTGTGTGTGTGTGTGTGTGTGTGTGTGTGAAAGAGAGCGATTACAAATTTAGCTGCTGATTCACCTCCGGCCCGCCCACTTACTGTTGGCTTCAGCTGTTTTCTGTCTCAAACTGCTCTCTGTCTCAAACCAACAAAGAGCAAGCAAAAGTGAGAATGAGAATTACGTGACCGATTCATCTTGAAGATGACATAAACAAAGCTTCTTGAAGAAATAAAAGGCTACAAAACCCCTCAAGTGCTCATTCACTCCTTTGGGTTAACTTGGAGTGTGTGCTCAGAGAATAACGATGATCCCATTCGTCGGTGACTTAAGTGAGCTCATATGTATATGATAATCCAAGATGATCATGTCTCTGAAACAGCTTTACAGTCACAGTTTCCCTTTCAATCAGTCCCGAAAAACCAAACCTCAGAGTTCATTTAGAGCAGCACATTAATCAACTCTATACACTTCTATACACTCAATACACTTCCTTCAGCTGTTGTATCAGACTCAGACGAAAACCATTTGTTCGTTACATCTCTCAGAGTGTTGTGTTTGTTCTGTGACTGTGTGCGTTTAATTTAGTACAGTGTGATGCTGGGTCAGTTAGTCAAATCAGGACAGTGACGTGAGAGGCAACATGTGACTAAACAGGCGGGAAGATTCAGCTCATCGGAAGAGAATGAGAGAGCTGCAAAACGTGAGAACTAAGTACAAACAAGACAGTACAAGAAGAGAACATTTGGTCGTTATCATTTTTGAATGCGAATGAAAATGCAGAATGTATAGGACATTGAAAGGGTTGGGAGGTTTATACGCAGGCCAGCCACTGGTGAGACATCAGGGCGGAAGTTGACAATGCAGTTTGAGCTGGTATGAGAAAGAGAGAAGGGAGGGAGAGTGAGAGAGAGAAACCTCTAATGAATCAAGGAAGATGGGCTTTTTTAGAAAAACAAGAAAAATACATTTACCAACAGCAAAAGAAACAGAATTTTTGGTGTATTACTTATTATAACAGTTTTTTTTTTTTAAACGAGATGTGTCAAAATGAAACTGCAGTGGCAACGAATGAATGGGTCTAACTCTTCGGCTCTTGGCAGGGAAATACTGCATCATTGGGTACCGATGGTTATGGTTTGTTTGTGTTTTTTCGAGTTCTGTCTTCCTATAAATCAAGTAAGTGACAGTATCCGAGTACATATATTTTTGTCTTTACATTTTACTCAATGTCGTATTTTGCCAGTGTTTTGATTTAGTTGTTGAGATGTTACAAGTTGTAGTCATTTATGTTAAAGGGCCAAAATATATTCCCGGGTATTCTCGAGGGTATGCGGTTCATCCATATATTTAAAAAGGCGTACGAAGAACTATTGGTTGTCCCTTGACCCCCCTTCATGACGTTTTTTGTTCTTATTTGTCAAGTTCACTGCATAAACTCACGTAGCCACCTTTCTGTCTCAAACAGATGAATATTAACAATATTTGCGCTCCGTTAAACGCGATTAATTTGCAAGATGGATCCTACGTATCCTTCGACTTCATATTCGGGATTTGAGAACTTTATTACAAGTTGTAGGACTGAAGCTCCAAACAACAGGTGGGTGAGAAGGTAGCTGACCTGTATACGAGCTCTGCATAAAAGTCTTTATTTATCAGCAAATCTGATGTAATATTGTTCGCTTTTACATTTATGCAATTTTGGAGATATTTCATCCTGTTTTTAATATTTGTATCCTTGGTTTGGGCAGAGGTGCCTGATTGCTAAATGCTAAGTAACATGTGCTGGATAAGAACTGTGATGAGACACAAGGAAAAACAATGTTGAATCTTAGTATTATCTCCGAACTATGATTTTTAGTGATTATTTATTTCGGCTTGTTATACACTTATGATTTTATATGCATTATAGAAAATTCAAGTGTGCAGTGATGCGTCAGCCATTTTGAGAGTATGCAGAAGATATGCAGAGTGTTTTTTTTAATATATATTTCCTTGTTTCCTTTCGATTTAAACATATTATGAGATTAATTATTTTTTCTTATATTATGCAGTTATTCAAGCTTGCCTTTGGTCAATTTTATGCTATTATGTTAACTGCTTATCAGAATTACACTTTTGGAGAGAAAATGCGGAAATGTTCATGTGACATGGGGTTTATCATTTATTGTAACCATCACTGAAAATTAAGAATTCAAGTTTTGGATTTGTATGTTTTGACAAATTCATTATATTACAGTAATAATACTGATAAGCTAGAATTCATTTTTTCTAAATATACTTTGAACAAACACACAAAGTCAATGCTATTAATGAAAAGATATGCTAGAAATAAAATTACACAACATATGTACTGAAAAAAATATGCATTTACTGTACAATGATATTTCTGAGTGTCCTTTATCTATAAAACTAAGTTAAAAGGTTGGAAAAAGAGTTTACAGGTGATTTTCTATTTGCTTGAATAAAGGGCATACACTATAAACAAAATAAAGTGAAATTTTGTATCATTATCTGATTTTTCTTTTAACAAAGAGAAATTCCAAAACATCAAAACCAGGCGCTTTTTAGCTGTATGTTTTAGAGCTTTTCTCGAATGTTCCCTCACACACAAACACACATGCACACACCAGTAAGCTTGCCTTTCTCTGAAGCATCATCAGAAAAAAGGCACTCATTTTAATGTTTTGTTTTTTTTCATTTGTCCACAACTAGATTTACTATCGATCATCATATTTTTTTATTTTTTGTGAAAAATTAATTACAAAACATGAAGTTGTGTGAAACCGTGGATATGTCATTTGGAATGATGTTCTACGTGATGTAAGGTCAAAGATAGTCTTTGACATCATAATAATTAATTGCTCATAATTTTATATAACATAATCAGCAATTAAGTGTGCAAATAGCAAAGGAAAAACAATAATTAGTAACAAAGTTTCATTATGTCTTTTATACTGTAATGGGTCTATTACATATTCTACTAAGTAAGGTTTTTTCCTTTCTCTGAAATATGTGAATTATACCACCGCACTTTGTAATGTTAACTATGCAATACAAAATATATGTGTGGGATTCTACTTCTGTCTCTTTTTTTACTCTTTTCTTTTTATTATAATACCAATAACAAATTTCAAAATGAATCACACTCTTTATGAATGAATCGCAATATAAAATTAATTGGTTTTGCTTGAAAATATTAGATTATTTTGAGAAAATATGGTGATCTGCATTGTGACTGTTTACGATTTGTAATTGTTTTGTTATCTCTGAGAACAATGGAGATGCAGAAGTGTAATTAGTAGTTTCATATGGGAGTATACATTTTAAATTATAATTGGAAGCTAACTTTTTCTGATGGTTTTATTTCTTCTGTGTCTTATTAAATCACAAAATGCAAAACATTTAACTGGTGTTAATGTTGACTCATATTCTTTATATCACCGGTTGCTGGATCAGTTTCTGTTGCAGACCAAAAAACTGTCTCTAAGCTCCATTAACTTTGTAATATATGTACAAGCATTTGTTTCTCATAACATGCCCTCATAAATGCATGCATTCTGTAGAATGTGAATTGAAAAGTTAAATATTTTAAATGTGAGTGACATATGTAAATAATAAAACTTTTGAAATTTTATTCATTATACCACTTTCAGTCTGAGTGGTGAATCGATTATGAAAGACCTCATTTTCTATTATGTAAGTGATGTGGGGACTCAACTGACTGGTCAAAAGTTTCAAGTATGATTTTATAACTCACGGGTAGCAATGACAGAAATTCTGTGGCTGTGATGTGGGTGAACAGTTCTTTTGGTAGGCCTCTGGAGTTCATTATTTGGTGACATTCCTGCAGCCACATACAACATAATATATGTCTGCAAAAATGAGTGACTTTCGGTTTATCCCTTTGTTAGATTTGTATAGTTTTGATTTGATGCTTACCATGCCATATCCTGGAGATGAACTCCTGAGTTTTTCAAACCTATTAGAATCAATGGCCCATCTGTCTCGGTGTTATCAATCTCGAACTTCTTACTTTGCCTATGCATGGATAGATAGGCTTTGCAAAATACTTCATGTCATATAGTTTTATAGATAGATAGATAGATAGATAGATAGATAGATAGATAGATATAAAATAGAACTAAAATCAAATCTTTCTTACTCGGAATGCGCTCGCGCGACTAAATGCAACACAGTGTAATAAAGAAAGACTGGATATTTCAAACAACTTCCTCACTACGCAGATCCCGCGCATTTTGTCTAGTTGTCTATTAGAAACGTTCATTTTCTGTAGATTTTTTTGTTCTTTTTCCCCCATTGAATTCCTTCTCTGAGAGCCCGGTTGTCCGTCAGGTGATGCTGACGTCGGCAGACTCCTCCTGCAGGGGAATCCCGCAAACTCCACGCGTGGATTTAGCTTTGGGTTTGTTTGAAGCCCGTTTTTTGTGTTGTTTTGGTCTTTGTTTGAGTAACACGGAACTCATCACCGCAAGACTCTTACAACTTAGTAACGAAAAAAGAAAACGTTTGGGGAGAGGAGGTCGGTGAAGTAAATTATCGCAAGGTAAAAGAGAGACAATTGTGCTGATTCTTCTTCTTCTTCTTTTTTGGCGTATTCCGCACCTAGGCACATACCGCCACCAACTCGTTTCTATTCATACATGGGTGATAATTGTGCTGATTCCTAATTTGCTAGAACATAAATTCGTTCTTCAGTAAGTGTTTGATTCGAAACTATTTCGTGCATTAAAGTCGGGATTTGGAGTACAAGATTACTTGATGCGTGCAGATATTGATATTTTAACGAGCTGACGTCGATGCGATTAAAATTGGTTTAAAAAATGGAATAAAACTAATGAATTAACAGGAACGGAAACTCAGAGGTTCAATAACGCTTTAAACGTTATTGAACCGTCATAGCTGTGAAGCGAGTTAACGCTAGCTAGCTTACTAGCTAGCAGTCGAAAATGTTAAAATATGCTTTTACTGTAACAAATTAATTTGTCTTTTAGAAATCTGTATTCAATATCTAAGTGTTTTCCCCCTTTAACAGTATCTACAAATGTGCGTTTCGTTTTAGAAGCAAATTAGCTAACTTACTGTAGTTATCTAAGCGGTATTTTCGCAGCTCGGCTCTCAGAGAAGATCGTTTCTGAGCGTTTCCACTGAGCATAAAACTTCACGATAATATTTACGAATGTGATTTGGTTGTTTAATTTGAAAGTTATCGCACTTCGCAAAAAGACAGCATCGCCGGCTGAACCGTTTTCAAAATATCGAGCGATTGTGAGTTGTATTTTTTATCATATTTTACCTCAAGCGTTGAGCTGACTGAAAGTTTTGTGTTATATCTGTAGTATATCTGTGAATGTAAAACAAGCCATGGCAGAAAGTCAAGAATTTGCTGACCTGTGGGAGCGAAACCTCATGTAAGTTTGCAACACCCTCCTGAGACCCCGAGTTGGTCATATCCTCAGTTTTATGCGGGTGCAGGCAATATTATTTCAGGTTTCTGTAATCATTTTTGGGTATTTATTTATTTTTGGTTGGTCAAGAAAAGATCCATTGAACTTTTCATTGTGCATCAGTACTCCGCTGTGTGTATTGTGTGTGCTTTATTAGTTAAATGCTAAACCAATTCTCTCTTTCTTCCAATTTGTGTCTCAGTTCCAGTCAGGAAGGTGGCCCTTGCTGGGACTTGATCAATGATGAGGTATTTGAAAATAAAAAAAAGCATGTATATACACACACATACCATACTCGTATTCATACTTGTTTTTTCAATGCTGGACTCTTATGTGTTTCAGCAGTATCTTCCAGGGTCTTTCGACCTGAATATTTTTAGTAATGTGCTGACTGAACAGCCTCGGCCGTCCACCTCCCCTCCGACCGCCTCTGTTCCTGTTGCCACTGATTATCCTGGGGAACATGGCTTCAAACTGGGCTTCCCTCAATCTGGCACAGCCAAGTCTGTCACCTGCACGGTAAGTTAAAAATACATACGCACACATACATCCATGCATACAGTACTCAACTTGCATAAGAAGTGACATTTGAGTATACTCGATCACGCATGTAATTCCTCTAATTTCACATTATACGTGCACTATACACTAGCATCCTAAATAAATGAAAAATCTATTTAGTAGTTTCCGATTATTACCGTTGGTTGTTTATATTCTGATTGGAAATCAAATAGTTTCTAGTGAGTGCATAAATAAGTATTAGTGATAATATATAGTTAAAAGTTAGTAGTGAAGTGTTTCTTGATTGTACAGCACTTTGGTCTGCAGTTGTAAAGTGCTCTATAAATAAAGTGAATGAATGAACTAACATTAGTATGTATTAGTTTAAGTGTGTACATGGTTGCACGTGTACCTGAGGTCATGTAGAGACTCAAATTGTCCTTTCTGGTGAGCGCTGAATTGGAATGTTGCCAGGATACCACAAGACTTCATTCATTTTACATCACCTCCTTCGTTCCTGTCCTGAATAATACTTCCAAATTCCCGTCTTCTGTGTATTCGCCACTCAAGTTTAGAGATCTGTTGTGGTCATTCAGCATGTCAATCTAACATGTGGAGTGGGCAAATAAGAAATTTAATTTGGCGGTTTCTTATTGAATTGTCTGCTAAACATGAATAGGCATGTTCTCACGTGGAGTGCCAAACAGTTCTCCAAAGCGTTGGGGTTAAAAAACAAAACAAAGTGCTGCCCCACCAAATCTTCTCTCTTTCATCTGTTGTACTTGTTTTTTTTGGTTCAGACCTTTTATATCCTAATGTTTTAGCAAGACTATTTAGACTATGAGCTACTATGTCACACAACCCTACATAAGTGGTTTGGAGAATGGATAGAAACAAGTATGTAGATTCAAATGGCATAAAATTATAAAAAATTCATCATGTATTTGTTTCAAGAGGTTGCACAAAGAAATGGCGGTGTGTTTGGCGTACATTTACACTTATGCGTTTAGTAGATGCTTTTGTCCAAAGCTACTTACAATAGAGGAAAATAACTCATCACACAGCCAATAACATTCATCGTGTACAATGCCAGGTTTATTATAAAGCTAAGTTAGGAAAAAGCTATGGCTTATGTAATTTGTCTGTGTACTTTAGCAAATATAGTTTAATACACACTCTCTTGACTGTCCAGTATGTAGAAAGGGGTGTTGCTCTAAGATGGCTGCATGACAAAAGATCAGATGACTGCATTAGTTGTCAGTCAAGAAAGCTTTCACACTCCTCAGTGTACAGTACTATTCATGTTAGTAATGAGTCATATTTCTAGCTTAGTCTCTGTTGTGTTTAACCCTCTAACATTATTAAATCTGACAGTACTTATATTTTATTTATTCCTATAATCAGTGAAATCTCCTTGTTAATTTCTTTGTCTTTTTGCCTTTTGTTATTTTTTTGAGCAGCAATGATTTTATTAGTAAGCCTGTATCTGTGGAGTTTGAACATGTCTGAACTTGTCCTGGTAGAGCAGTGGGGGGATGGGGGTGTCCGGTTCAACAGAAACTGTAGTCTTCAAGACTCCCGAGCAGGGACATTTAGCATCCAAAACTTTTCAGTCTAACCGTTGTAGGGAGAATTGCGTCCTGTGAAACAGAGTTTTAGGAAAGAGAGTAGAGTTTAAGGTTGTTATAGTGCAAGTCAAACTGGTGTCTTTCAGATCCTGTGAGAAACTACAGGACTGCACATGATCTGGATGGTAAGAGGAAAATACAATTTCAAAAGCTCAAATGTGAATGGGATGAATTACATTATTTTAAAATTGATCAGTGTAATAATTTGTGTCTGAGATAAAAATAATATATATATATTTTTTTTTTTTCAAAATCTGTGAGGTTTTTACGTTTTTGAAACTTTTGTTGATGCTTGCAATTTTTTCCGTCCTTTTTAATGTACTAGGTTTTGGTTAGATAAAACATATGTTTGTATTTTATTATTTGTATTATTGTCATTATGTACTTTTTTCTGTAATAATAAATACATATTGAATGTGTTAATTAAAAAATGTACATTTTCTAAATCAGCAAGCTTATTGTTAAAGTCCGCGTGAACCGGAAGTTGCTGCCGACTTTATTTCAGTGTAGTGACGTATTTCCTTCTGAAACGGAATATTGAATAGAGGGCATGGTTTTATTTTGGCGCTCCTCCACTTTATTTTCTCTCACTCATAACAATCTAACGGTCGGAGGGGTGTGTTTAAAAGGATATTCTGCCGAAGCCGTCAAACTGACATCATCAGAGAAGGACTGCCATTCCAGAGCAGAAGCAAATGTTCAGATTTTAATTAAAGATTAACAAGACAAACAATTTTTTTTCAGCAGATTAACTTGTACGGATTAATTGTTAACATCAAGACTATGTGCGCTAGTAAAGTAAATAGTCAATTTTGATTTCATGCCGACTTTAAAGGCTGTGTATTTGCTACACCTGTAGTGGTGGTGCTTCAAATGGGATGAATTTATTATTATTAGCACACTGTCAGCCCATTAAAACCTCTCTTCAAGACATTCACCTTTAAAGCACCACTGCTAAGAAAAAAAAAATCCAGTTGAAGTAGCTGACCTCACTGATCAACTAGTAGTTGATTGTTGGACTGCGAGTTGGTCATCTTAACCTATCTTTTATTTTAATCAGCATTCTCAGGAATTGTAACTTGAATGTTCTATTAACTTGTGTGATTACTACAAATACTAATGACTGCAACGTATTATTATTTTTTTGTTTTTCAACGTGTGACTTTTGTTTATATGAACTTGATGATAATCTTTTCCATTTCTTTGATTTCAGTACTCGGCTGACCTGAATAAGCTCTTTTGCCAATTGGCGAAAACGTGTCCAGTTCAGATGGTGGTGGACGTTGCCCCTCCCCAGGGCTCGGTGATCAGAGCCACAGCCATTTATAAGAAGTCCGAACATGTGGCTGAGGTGGTCCGTCGATGTCCCCACCATGAGAGAACCCCAGATGGCGATGGTATAGACATGCTCTTTCTCATCAAATCTTGCACCATTGTA